GACCTTCACACCGAACGGCGTGTTCAACTCCCGCAATTTTTTATTATGGGCAGATAAAAATCCACACGCCGTTCGACAATGCGCATTTCAGCATCGCTGGTCGATAAATGTATGGGCAGGAGTAATAGCGAACCAAATCGTAAGTAAATTTATAAGTTAAGAAACACTGTCTTTCTCTCTCTCTTTCTCTCTCTCTCTCTCTCTCTTTCGCAATGTTTGAAAATCACTTTTTTTTTACAATTTTCAGATCGGTCCGCATTTTCTCCCGCTGCGCTTAAATGGCGAAACATACGCACATTTTCTGGAAAATGAGTTACCCGGCCTTCTCGAGGAAATTCTTTATCACGAGCGATTTGAACTCATTTTCCAGCACGACGGGACTCCTGCTCATTTTTCGCGGCAGGCACGCGATGTATTAAACACGTGCTATACGGACAGGTGGATGGGTTGAGGTGGCCCAATCATCTGGCCGGCGCACAGCGGGCTGGGTGAGCAAAATCGAGTCATAACGGAACGAATTGTTGTTACAATTAAATGAAACTTGGTCCTCAAACGTATTTGAAGTCACTGATTTTGAATATAAATTTTGATTGTGATCAAAATTACCAAATCAAAATGGCGGGTCAAATATAGCCGACGTAAATGCAAAATTGCTTTTGATTAGCCTCAAATGGATGATATGTAGGATTTTTAGGTCGCTAAAATCAAATTTGATGTCTCAATAACAAAATTCAATATGGCAGATTCAATATGGCGGACTTAGATGCAAAATAAATATCTGTTAGCCCAAAATATTTATATACTCGGTTTTTCGAATTGTAAAATTCGAAACTAATGATCAAAATGTACAATAATAACAGATTCAATTTGGCAAATTCTGTATAACATATATATTAAACTAGAAGATTTAATATTTATCAATAAACTTGAAATTTTCTGAAAATTTCAAGTTTGTTGATGAATATTTACATTTCGTTTACTAATTTATAATATATACATTTACGTACTTTGGTAATGAATATTAGTAGGCACTGTACATAAATGTTGATTATAAGCAGAATCGGCTGAAGTCGGTTGCAAATTTTGTATAAGGTTACTTACAAATAGTTACAGAACAGTTACATATCTATAAACCTCTAACCGGTATAATTTGGCACAACTTTGTTATTACACTTAAAACTTGAAATTTTCTGAAAATTTTAAAAAAAATTTTAAATAACGTTAAATTATACTGGTTAGAGGTTTCTAGATATGTAACTATTCTGTAACTATTTGTGAGTAACCTTATACAAAATTCGCAACCGACTTCAGCCGATTCTGCTTATAATCAACATTTATGTACAGTGCCTACTAATATTCATTACCAAAGTACGTAAATGTATATACACTGGTCCAAAAAATTAAAGGATCATCTGTTCTAGCCTCTAAAAATAGGCAAACTTCAAGATAGAGCAACTTCGTCAAAAATGATCATATCGAGATGTTCAAAAAAGCATTTTACAGCTTGAAATCTCTACTTTCCAAATCGGTACTTGAGAAAACGATCCTACTGATTTTTCATGGAATTACACGGATAGAAAAGGAGACCCGACGAATCTCAAAATTTTTTACAAACTTTGACAAGTTCCATGGCGTGGAATAAAAATCGCACATAAACAGGGTTTACAGCTTTTGAAAGAATGAATCTTTCTCTACTAAAAATCGCACACAAATGCAGTTTACTGCTTTCGAAAGAGTGAATCTTTACCTTTAATTTGCTTTTTTGTTGAGCATCGTATGATTTTTTTTCTACCGAGTTATTTAACATTGAAGCAAAAATGACCCTTTTTACTTCAATGTTGAATAACTTAGTGAAAAAAATCGTACAACGCTCAACAAAAAAGCAAATTAAAGAGAAAAATTCATTCTTTCGAAAGCTGTAAATCATGTTTATGTGCGATTTTTATTCCATGGAACTTTGCAAAGTTTGGGAAAAATTTTGTTATTTGTCACACTTTTATTTATATTTATGCGGTTTCAAAGAAACTCAGTTACAATTCACAATAGAGATTGAAGATAACGATTGTATTAGTTTTTTTAAATGTCAAACTGATTAGGGAGAGAGGTAAGATCATTTTTGACATATTCCAAAAACCGACATCCTCAGGAAGGTATCTAAATTTCAACTCAAATCATCCTACTACACATAAAAAGGGCATTATTCTAGGGATGGTTGACAAGATAATTTTGTTATCACATCCGAGATTCCATCAGAAGAATTTCATCCACATGACAGAGATCCTTCTTGAAAATGGATATCCAATTAAATTTATTTTTAATACGATCAGAGATAGATTAAAATATCTTTTTTACAAACCAAAAAATAACGTTATTAATGGCAATTCTAATAAGAAGAAACGGTTTGTA